AATTGCAACGTACGCCCACTTAACATAGATCGACATGAAAAGTGACTAGCAAAATGAGAACGGGACCGCCTAGATATTCGACTGATGTATCAAAATAAGATCGATCGGATCGACATGCACGCGGGGTACCTGACGCGTCTAATACAGTTCCAGTCGATCGGTTACTCCGTTTATGTCATGCATGATACAATTGTCCGTCGGAGTATGGACGAAGTTCGAGTTTTCAGCTCTCAAAGTCTCAATTATCTCCCAATGTTGATTTAGCACGGGATTCTTCAAAATCGTCCAAATTTGCACCGTCCAACTGCCAAACACGTATGTGGTTTTAACGCTGGTTTTCCCTGTTGCAGTGGTTTTTCTCGTCAACGTGGATCCTAGTAATCACCAATCAACATGGAAAGAACCTACTCAAGTATAGATAGAATAGAAAAAAAAGAGTGGTTTGAAGAAGATTGGGAAGATATAAAACACAAGCCTTTTTTTCTAATCTTGTTATAAAGGAAAAACTCCAATCGTGTGCTTCACTCTTACACTCCAACATGTTATTACTATTTTGGTCTCAACAACAATTTATTCAAGTTATTGTTAGTATCTATGAATTATACATATTCTCTCCTTTATATAATGAGTCTGTTGGGAGTCACTATAGCACAAGAGCAATCGCCCCCACATCATGATGTCATCATGCAGCATGTGCCATTGCCATGAGATCATGCATGCTGCGCCGTTTGTTGAACGTTTGCGGAATATCATGATTTTTTTAACAACACAACCCACATACATGATGTGAAGTCTAGTGAACGTCTGCTCACTATGCTATGCTAGTTTAGCCACGTAGGGGAATTATTCGAAGCAGGGCAGGAGCTTCTAAGGTCTAAGGTCACGGCCGACTGGCCGGTTTTAGAATTCAACTTGACAACCAGGAAGGAAGAATCCGGCCGGTGACCGGCCATGAGCATACTTCCGTGTGAACCATGACAACCGATAGCCCCATCTGGATTGCGACGTACTCCCCATTTAGCATACATCGGTATATACGGAAAGATATAACATATGAGCCTCTTTATTTTTACACTTCGTTTTTCGAGTTATTACGTTTCTGTGACGTGGTAGACGAGTGGGGTTGATGTGTCAGTTACATGGAGTTCCACAAAAGTACAACTGCAAGATCTAACTGGATCAAAGCAAAGTCAGACCTAGGCATTACTATGAGAGAAACTGTGTGAACACGCAGAGGTGAAAAGTAGTGTTTGGTTTGGAAAACTTCGTCGAAAAATCATATTTGGCCAATAGTTGAAGATTTTCTATAAAATATGCGCATCCATACATCTCTAGTTTGCAGGGTAAATATAAAAAAAGCATTAGCTACTGTGTTTTAGGTAAAATTAGTACATATCATCACATAAGTCAAGAAACAGTTTTCATGATCATATTACAGTTTGACGCCAACATATTATATGCTACTACAAAGTACTACCTCTGTACCAAAATATAAGAAGTTTTTGTACAAGTGCAAAAACGTCTTATATTTTGGTAGAGAGTAGCTGTCAAAGTTAGACGTCCAATACTCGCCCAAGACTCTTTTATGTTCCAAAATTGACTCATATATTTACTCACGAACTGATGGAGTAACAGATTACATTCTAACTTCTGCAAGAATTAAAAAGTACAGCCTAGCTAGCTAGCCATTAGGCGTGATGTCAGTTACTTCTCAAAGTCCTCTCCGGCCCTTCCTTACATGTGCAAGGAATAACAGCGACCCCTGCTCTAATTAAGCTCCACTGGTAAACCTAATAGCTATTAGGCGTGATGTCAGAAACTTATCAATGTCCTCCTGCCCTATCCTTACATGTAATATTTGTTAGGCTGAAACAGCGACCCCTGCTCTAATTAAGCATCCGTTGGTTAACCTAACCCAATGATTACTCTACATGCACGTAAGTTCTATGGATAGCCACGTAGCGACTAAATGGGCTCGAATGGAAAAAATAACTCCACGGGGCTTGACGAGGTCGAGCTCGAGCCGGCCAAGTTGCGCGTTCTGATGCGCCAACCAAACCAGAGCTGTGCACGTATGCTACGTTACCATGCGTGACTCGTCAGTCGACATGCACGGGTGGCGTACCCAACTTGAAGGCCTGACACTATAAAGCAGGCACAATGCTCGTACAGTTCCAACTCGCGCCAACATACAAACCCAAACACTCGAACACGTATAGAAAACATGTCGAGTCCTCTGCTTGTTGCAATGGCCGCGGCGGCGATCATCGTCGCCTGCTGTTTCGCAGCATGTCCGGTCGGCGCGGGCGCGAGCGCTGGTGGCTTCTACGACAACTTCGTGGTGAAGTGGGGCACGGACCCAGACCCTGACCAGCGGGTCGAGATCGTCGACGGCGGCCGGCTCGTGACGCTCACCCTCAACAACGTCTCCGGCGCCGGGTTCCAGTCCCGAGACGCCTTCCTCTTCGGCGAGTTCACCATGGAGATGAAGCTCGTGCCGGGCGACTCCGCCGGCACGGTCACCACCTTCTATGTAAGCCCGTCTCGCCTAACCACCAATACTTTTCATGCGTACTTCTCCTCTCCCAGATATCGTCCGATCATGCGTTGAATGCATGCACGAACATACTTAATTTCCTTCGAATTTGACGTACGTACGTGAGTACTATATTTGGTGCTTGTTTTGATTGTGCATGCATGCTGTTGATCATGCAGCTGACCTCCAAGGATCCGACGGCGGTGGGGGACGGGCACGACGAGATCGACTTCGAGTTCCTGGGCAACGTCAGCGGGGAGCCGTACCTGATGCAGACCAACGTGTTCGCGCAGGGGGTCGGGGGCAGGGAGCAGCGGTCCTACCTGTGGTTCGACCCGACAGAGGACTTCCACAACTACACCATCCTCTGGAACCCTCTAAACATCATGTACGTACCATACGTGTCGAACGAGGTGTCCACCATGCAAGCATCTAATCATTCATATCTTGCATATTTAAATCAACGTTTCGGATCTTGCAAATATGCGCTGTTTCTAACGTTCTGTTGTCTCAGCCTGCCAAGCTAGTAGCTGAAAATTAAGCAGGCGTGAACCCGACGATAAGCACATGAAGACCAAACACGAGAGGACAAAATTTTGTGTCTGGAGATGACTCTTTCAAACGCGCGTTCGCGCATGAAAAATATGACCGTTTAACTGAACTTGACGGCCCAAAGTATCACATACGCATGGGCTTACGCGCACCAAGCTTTTCCTCCTCATATTTGGGCTTTCTTCCCTGGTTTGTCCTAGGCCCGTTTACTAACAAGATTTTTTCCAGTTCTAGAAAAAAACTCGCACGCAAGCGATGTTTTTCTGTCCTCTCATTTTTTTAAAATAACAAACCACCATCTCTCAAACAGATCATAAAGCGATGGTTTTTCTCAAATAAAAGTATACAAAAATGGAAGGCGACTAATATGTTTCGCTTTGGTCAGAAGATGAGAAAGCTAGTAAGATTCAAGATTTTTCGTCCAAATTCAACAGCCATTTTTATAGGAACCTTCCACTGTCGGTTTGGAGTAGCAAACTTGAACAGCAACTTGCTACTCTGGCCATAGGGGAGACGATTTTCTCGACACTCTGCATTCAAATCATTCTAAATTCTAAAGCTGCTCTGAAAGAGGGCCTAGTTTAGCCGCGTCGGCATATTTGGAAGCACGAGAACACCACCTGTCCCAACCAGTTGCTGTTTTAAACGAAGAAGGGACCGAGAAAACGTGAAGAGGCACATGAGGTGCCTGCGTAGGTATCATGCACGTCAACTTAGCCTCTAAACAAACCAGCTAATGATGCGATAATCGTACTAGTAGTACGCGGAGTCAAATGCTAGATTCTGCCAAAATAGAATTTTTTTTACCCAGCATCTGAATCAAAATCTCGGCAAATTCAATAGTACCCAAGGCCAGTTGGCCCATCACTGCACTGCGCCGAGTGATCGATCGAATTAATGTATCGGATCTAACAATTGTTTCCTCTGATGCTCTCTGTTTTCCAGCTTCTCGGTGGACGGCGTGCCGGTGCGCGTGTTCCGGAACCACGACGCGAACGGCGTGCCGTACCTGAGCAGGCAGGCGATGAAGGTGCACGCGACCATCTGGGACGGCGACACCTGGGCCACCCGCGGCGGCCGGGTCAAGATCGACTGGGCGCACGCGCCCTTCGTCGCCTCCTACGGGACCTACGCCGCCAGCGCCTGCGTCTCCGCGGCCGGCAACGGCGATCTGGACGGAGCGCCGTCGGCCTTCTGCTGCCCGGGCGACGCCCCGTCGTGGATGGCCCGGCGGCTGGGGCCGGACGGCGAGCGCGCGGTGGCGTGGGCGCGCGACAAGTACATGGTGATGGACTACTGCGACGACCCCTGGAACCTCGGCCGCCCCGCCGAGTGCGACATGGACCGCCTCGCCTCAGCCGTGTAATAGTTTTGGTTCCGTCGGCCATACTCACCACATACGTGTCGTCGTGTGCCAGACAAACAGGCGTACGGTGTTTGTGTTGGTGCTTCTAGCGTAGCCTGCTACGTCGTCTCACTCAGATGTGACGTGTAGGGCTGTAGGCGTAGCGTATATAATACAGGAGATAACTACTATGAGTTTTCTCTAGCGGATCATAGCAAGGATGATTCCTGCAGAAACCTGCCCCTGCTGTAACCTGTAGCCGTGTAATTCATGCATATCCAGACGCTGAGATAAGATTAACGCATTTCTGAACATCTTGAGCCTGGAAGAAGAGCAAATTGGCCAAAAAAAATTGCTCTGTGTGTGTCATATAAATGTTGATACAAGTGGAGGAAAGGGGAGGCCGGAATCAGAAATCCAATGAAAGAATCAAGCCCGCTGCGCCGCACGTACCTGTTTCTTCAGATGTACAAAAATAATCAGGGTACGATACTGTATATCGAACCCAAACAATGAATCGGTCGCTCAACCCTCTCGCTCGACCAAACCCGACGGCGATCAAACTCATCACGGGCGGGGCGGGAGCGAGCACTCCTTGGGCCTGCTGGTGGCGGTGTACCGGTTGCTCATGTCGGTGCAGTAGTCGTAGATGACGTAGCCCATGTTGCGCACCCACTGCAGGTCGGCGCGCGCCTTGGGGGAGAGGTTGAAGTGCGGGGACCCGGCGGGCTCGGCGCCGCACCACGACACCCCCGGCGACGGCCGGCAGTAGGTGATGTTGTAGTTGCGGTAGTAGGAGACGAAGGGCGCCAGCGACCAGTCCGTCTTGACGCGCCCGCCCTGTGTCGCCCAGTCGTCGGCGTTCCACAGGCTCCCGTACACCCGCTGCTGCTGCCACGACGGGAACGGCACGCCCTGGTCCTCGTTGTTGTCGAACGACCGGATCGTCACACCGTCCACCTCGATCCTGCAAAAGTTCAGTTCACATCCGTATATATGTTCAGAAGATCGGTACGATCGACCACTACATACTCAACGTACATACGTATCACGCAAGAAAAGAGATCGGGAAAGTGCTAGGTTATTTACGTGATGCGCCTGGGGTTCCAGACGATGGAGTAGGTGTGGTACTCGGCGCTGGGGTCGAACCAGAGCTTGAACTGCTGCTCCCGGCCGCCCACGCCGTAGGCGAATACGTTGGTGTGGAGGGTGTAGGGCTCGCCGGTGGAGTTGCCCAGGAACTCCAGGTCGATCTCGTCGTGGATGTCCCACGGCCCCTCCGAGATGGTCTGTATGCGTACCACGTACACGTGCACCGAGATATTCACTCAAAAGTCAACTCGACGCATACGCACTGGCGCGCTAGCTGCACCAAATACAATCCTACTGAAAACGAAAGACCGACTAGATCGAGATCTTACGTAGACGGTGCAGACGGTGCCGGCGGAGTTGCCTTCGACGAGCTTGATGTCGAGGTCGATGCGGGCGAAGAGGTACATGTCGTTGGACTTGAAGGCGGAGCCCCGGTTGAAGTCCAGCGAGAGCGCGAGCGCCTCGCTGTCGCCGTCCATGAAGTAGTAGGTGTGGTCCGCGCTCCATATGATCTGGATGTCCTTGTAGATGTCCGCCCTGCCCACGTCCACGCCCAGGAGGAAGGCCAGGGCTACGCCTACGCACAGGAGCCGCAGCTTTGGCCTACAAGGCAATGCTGGCGCCATGGCTGGCTAGCTATCCCCTGTCCCTGCTGCTGCTATGTGCAGTGCCGGGACACAAGCTAGCTAGCCTCTGTCTTGCTGCTTCCAACGCGGAGAGAGAGGTCAGCGGCTCCGGCCTGTATATATATTGGAGACGAAGGTGGCAACGAAATGGTGGAGGATTTGCCGAGGAGGGCGGCAAGGCAAGAGCAGAATCGAATGCCAACCTTGCTGAAGGCGGAAGCGAGGGAGAACCTGCTGCTGATTTGGGAAGACAGGCTTGCTGGGTTGCTAAGCGACTAGCTAGGTGCTCGTATATAAGCGTCTTGGGAGCACTGGCCGGCCGGCCCGGCGGACGCCGTGCACATGCAATGCACGAGAGGTCTCTTTGCTAGTAGATGGAGAGCTGAGCATCAATGCATGGGAGCCGTAGGTTTGCTTGGCTGGCTAGATCTCAGTAAACTGCTATCTTATCAGTGGCACGCTGACCTATCCTCACACCGCACTTCGACTCAGATTCGCTAGTTGTCAAATGAATTAAGTGGAGGGCTCATAGTTTAGTGTTGGCACTACTCTACATGCTAAGCCGTGAGCGGGCTACGGTCGATCTGGAACTGCTTTGACTTTTACTGGTGTGGTGAGCGCTCTCGGCGGGAGACAGATTTGGACGGCTGGCTTGCCAAGATGTTCAAGCATTGCCCACCGCACGCGACCGACGCCAGGTTAATTTCCAATTGGGCGTTACCTGCATCGGGGAACGCGCATTGCGACTTCAGCGCGCTTTGAGGCGGTATAAACTTGCTCCTAAATGAACGGAGATCGCACCAGAGTTTAGTAAGGACACTTCGCTTAGTGAGAAGCACTAGTGTCCTGGTGAAGTTAGTGTTGGGGCTACGACAGCAAAGATGCTATGCACACTAAACAACCCCTCCACTTGTTGTGAACTCCGAGGACATCTTCAACCAACAAGCAGCGGAATAACATAACATATGACATAGGATTTGACGTGGAAAAACCTTCTCAAGTTGAGAAGTAAAAAGGTTATGGACCAACCGGTCCACACAACTTCACTATGAAAATAGTGAGTACAAAGTCTTCTCTAAAAACCTCTACAGAAATTTATAACACAGTTTACACGTTGCCAATCGGCAATAGTAACAACAACCACAAGAGGCAAGATTTTTACAAAACAGACTTTACACAACTTCTGTCCTTTCAGTATTTTACAAACTGCTTACAAACTGCTCACAAACCGCTGAACCAAAAAACAAAAAAATTTGGCAGTAGTTCGAAATTTCATCCCCTCAAATTTTCATACCATTCGGACACTGTTTGCCTACCCCATATGTTTGTCTCCTAAAACTAATCTGTCCTAGAACAACAACATTTCGAGCTGGCAAAACCACTCTCAATCTGATGCTCCATTGACCCAATCCTCAAACCAGCTATCCAGATTGAAGTACTCAAATATGATCGAGCCCACCAAGTTTAGAGCCAATCTAAGCAAGTTTGAGCCTCCAATAACCGGCTTGAACAATGTCTAGTCAGGTGCAACAGATCTGGATAGAACCTCCACTCCTTTCTTACTCACACAAGTTGTGTGCTCTATCACTCTCATAATGGCAGCGAGCAGCAACATGGGTGGGGTGGCTAGGTTTTCTCCTTGCTCCCTTCACCAGGAAGCACTCACAGCCGTTGGATACAGTGAAGATCAACATCTCGTATGTGTTGGACTCATGTGGGCTCATGTTGGGCTCATGTTGGGCTACCAACACACCTCCATACGGAGGGACTTGGCTAAAAAAACTCTCCTCCCAGCATCATGGAGGGTCTCACTGCCTTTCAGCAGCCATGCCATTGAGCCGGTGGCATAATTCGAGTTTCTTCCTTGTCACCACCTTGGTCAACATATCAGCCCCATTATCGTCGGTGTGAACTTTCTTAATCTGCATTTGAGTGAAATATAGCACATCTTGAATCCAATGATAGTGGACTTCAATATGCTTAGACCTGGAACAAAAACTTGCATTCTTATTAAAGTGGATGACACTTTGGTTGTCAGAAAACAACGCATATTTGTCTTCCTTAAAGCCTTAAACCCAAGTTCACAAGCCAACCGTTTCAGCCACAATAGCTCTTTACTTGTATATGTTACTATAAAAAATTCAGCTTCAATTGTATTCAATGCCACACACTTTTGCAACCTTCTTTGCCATGACACCGCTTCTTCTACATAGGTAACCAAGTAATCCGAAGTAGGATTACTTCTTTCAACAACTCCAGCCATGTCAGAATCTGAAAAGGCAATCAACTTGGGCTCACCACCACCAAAGTAAAACTTCATTTTAGTGCTACCTCGGAGATATCTCAAAATCCACTTCACAACTTCTCAATGAGGTCTTCCCGGATTAGACATAAATTTGCCCACTGTACTAATCGCATTAGCAATGTCAAGCCTTGTACACACCATAGCATATACCAAACTCCCAACCTCTAAAGCATAAGGTGTTGGGGAATGTTGCATGGAAAACAAAAAAAATTACGCACACGCAAGATCTATCCATGGAGATGCATAGCTACGAGAGGGGAGAGTATGTCTAGGTACCCTTGTAGACCGTTTAGCGAAAGCGTTTATCATCGTGGTTGATGTAGTCGTACACCATCACGATCCAACCGATCAAGTACCGAACGTATGGCACCTTCGTGTTCAGCACACGTTCAACTCGATGACGTCCTCGCCTTCTTGATTCAGCAAGATAGACGAAGTAGTAGATGAGTTCCGGCAGCACGACGGTGTGATGACGGTGCTGGTGAACTTGTTCTGCAGGGATTCGCCGTGCACTGTAGAAAACTAGACGGAGGATGAAACCGGGAAGAGAGGCGCCGCACACGGCTTGTGGATTGTCGTGGATTGTGTGGCGCCCCCTCCTCTAGCCGACTCCCCTCCTTCCTTTTCTCCGCAAGGCCTGCGGCCAGAGGAGGGGCGCGCCAGCCCCTTGTGGGCTGGTGTGCTCCCCTCGTTTGGCCCATGTGGCCCATTAACCTCCCAAGGCTTCTCGGAACCCCTTCGGTGATTCGATGATTACCCGGTACATTCCTAAACCTTTCTGGTGACCAAATAGCATCGTCCTATATATCAATCTTTACCTCTAAACCATTCCGGAGCTCCTCGTCATGTCCTTGATCTCATCCGAAACTACGAACAACATTCGGTCACCAACTCACATAACTCATATAGTACTATATCATCAACGAACGTTAAGCGTGTGGATCCTACGGGTTCGAGAATGATGTAGACATGACCGAGATGCCTCTCCGGTTAATAACCAATAGCAGGACCTGGCTGCCCATATTGGTTCCTACATATTCCACAAAGATCTTTATTGGTTGAATCTTTATGACAACACACGTAATTCCCTTTGTCAGTCAGTATGTTACTTGCCCGAGATTCGATCGTCGGTATCTCCATACCTAGTTCAATCTCATTACCGGTAAGTCTCTTTACTCGTTCTGTAATACATCATCTCGTAACTAACTCCTTAGTCACTTTGCTTGCAAGCTTCTTGTGATGTGTATTACCGAGAGGGCCTAGAGATACCTCTCTGATACACGGAGTGACAAATACCAATCTCGATCCATGCCAACTCAACAGACACCTTCGAAGATACCTGTAGAGCATCTTTATCACCACCTAGTTACTTGTGATGTTTGATAGGACACAAGGTATTCCTCCAGTATCCGGGAGTTGCATGATCTCATGGTTGAAGGAATATGTATTTAATATTAAGAAAGCAGTAGCAATAAACTGAATGATCATATGCTAAGCTAACGGATTGGTCTTGTCAATCACATCATTCTCCTAATGATGTGATCCTGTTATCAAGTGACAACACATGTCCATGGTTAGGAAACCTTAACCATCTTTGATCAACGAGCTAGTCTAGTAGAGACTCACTAGGGACATGATATTTGGTTATGTATCCACACATGTATTTATGTTCTCAGTCAATACAATTATAACATGAATAATAAACCTTTATCATGAATAAGGAAATATGATAATAACAACTTTATTATTGCCTCTAGGGCATATTTCCATCAGTCTCACACTTGCACTATAGTCAATAATATAGATTACATAGTAATGAATCTAACACCCATGGAATCTTGGTGCTGATCATGTTTACCCGTGGAAGAGGTTTAGTCAACGGGTCTGCCACATTCAAATCCATATGTATTTTGCAAATTTCTATGTGCCACGCTTGACCTTTTCACGAATGGAGTAGAAGCGTCTCTTGATGTGTTTGGTTCTCTTGTGAAACCTGGATTCCTTTGCTAAGCCAATTGCTCCAGTGTTGTCACAAAAGATTGTCATTGGACCCGATGCACTGGGTATTACGCCCAGATAGGATATGAACTCCTTCATCCAGACTCCTTCATATGCTGCTTCCGAAGTAGCTATGTACTCCGCTTCACATGTACATCCTGCCACGTCGCTCTGCTTGGAACTGCACCAACCGATAGCTCCACCATTCAATATAAATATGTATCCGGGTTGAGACTGAGAGTCATCTGGATCGGTGTCGAAGCTAGCATCAATGTAGCCTTTTTCGATGAGCTCTTCGTCACCTCCATAAATGAGAAACATATCCTTGGTCCTTTTCAGGTACTTCAGGATGTTCTTGACCGCTGTCCAGTGATCCACTCCTGGATTACTTTGGTACCTGATGAAGTCATGTACCTGGGGTAGGGTCATGGACCTGTCCAAGGTACCCTCCCCGAGGACATCTTTAGAAGAAGCCGTCTTCCTATCGACCTAGAGGGACTCCACTCGACGGACTGGAAGACACTCGACGAGCTTGAAGACACTCGACCATGAAGACTCACTCGACCACCAGGAGTTCAAGATCTACTCTATATCTAAACGGTCTGTAATTAAGTAGTCTTTATGGTCATGATGACACTTTATGTATGGCGTTACCAGTAATGCCAGGCCTTAATGTACTTTAAACCCTCCGCTACGT